ACAAATGGAAGTCGTTCGTCGCCCCTTTAGAGGGGCGCAGGTGGAGATTTGTGCGACTTTATATATGTTTCGGCTCTTCTACCGCTGCCTGCTGCATGTTGTTTTCTGCCCGATGATGGGGCGTCACAGTGCAGGGTGGATCGACCGGAAGATGCCTGGTCACAAAAGAACGAAAAAGTACACAGCAGAGACGTGGCGCATGGCTACTGTAACCACCTGGACAGCCACCGCCCTATCGCAACTCGTCTCGGTGAGACTTGTTCTTTTGTCGCCCACCTTTCTTCGGCAGTCTGGATGCGGAAGCTTCTTCGGACCTTTTTTCCTTCTCTCTCTCTTCCAAGGTTTCTCCTTTCAGTGATTGCCCTTTTGAGGGAGGGCCTAGATGGTTGGTTAGGTCTAGATGTGATGCGTTCGATCGTGACTTCCTCATCTTTCCTCGCTGAGATCGGTGTCTTGTGCGCGCGTTTGAAATCGCGAGAGAAGGCATGGCGAGAAGGCAAAACAAGGTCAAAGTGAAGCTGGTCGTTACAATTGCAAATATGGGATCTAGAGCTGACATGGGTATAGATCTAGATTGCCTGTCGTGCCTGTCTGTCCGGGATATCCTGAGAACATCAACTCAACACGCGGGTTCTCGCTCAACCTCAAACCAGGACCTTTCAGCTCTCATTTCGTTGCTATTGAGAGATGTTAGGATGGAGCGCAGGTACCTTTGCGGTTTGCTTGTTACTTGCCTGCCTCGGTCATTGCCGTTATTTCAGCTTCTTTGTCAAGCAGCACGGCCGTAGACTTCAGCGACATCTGCCAGCCACCTATCTAGATGCTGTTTCACGTGCAGATGCGGGACGTGCATGTGGAAATGCGAATGCGGGATGTGGAAGTGGTGTTGCATCTTATCTAGGTCCTGCTTGTGAGAGCGGCAGAGGTGTCTTTGGTGATGTAATGGATGTTCGGTAAACTGTCGTTGTATTGATGACAAGAGATGTGTCGTATGGAAGGGAAATTCATACATTCATTTCGGAGAGGAATAGTTCTATCGTTACGCAGTCCTGCTGATTCTCGAGAGGTCCGCGAGGTGGCGTTATGGTGGTATTATGTGGAGTGACTCTCACGATTACGCCCGCTTATGGAGCAGGCAAGGTTGATGTTTAGCCGGAAGACAACCCTCACGCCACATCTACCAACACTGTGACGCAGCGATATGATTTCGCTCACCTACGCAAAATCCCTCTAATGACGCGAGTACACGCTGACTTGATCTTCTTTATCCTCGCTTTCTTCCTTTCTTGATGTTCCTCTTCCTCAAGCTCCATCATGTGCTTTCGCTGCATCTGCTCCCCTGCAGAAGAAAGACTTGGTTGTGGTTGTGTTTGTGGTTCGCTCTTGACAGAAGCAGTAGCAGTACTGAGAACACCACGCTCGCCTCCATCTGGGTCCATACTAGACGCTCGGGTTGTAGGTGCGCTAGCATTGGGACGACCTCGTCGCCTCTTCACACTATGCGCATGTCAGTGTCTGATACCACAGTACAGCCAAGAGGTATCACTCACGCAGCGTCATGGCTCCAACTATTACCTTGACTAGTATGATTCATCATATGCGGTCCCTCCACCTTCCTCGCCCTAACCGACTCAACTCCGAAAGGCCTGCCACGAACCCAGCCCTCATCCCACACCATCCTCCCTTTCCCCTTGTCTACCCTACCAAACCGATCTATTCTGGGATACTCGACGCGCGCCCTGGTCATCTTTCTAGGCTGTGGCGCATGCTCAAGTCCTGGCCACATACCCGACGAGCTAGTGTACATGGAAGACGGGGAAGAGTGGTGCGTGTTGCGAGGAGAGTTTGGAATGTAAGCGAGGGATGAGGGACCGGGGATGCATGGCGAGACTCGGCATGTAGGACTACATGTTTGAGGTCGCGGAGTGGTATCGGCGCAAGGGTTGGGGAGAGCAATGGGGACCCAGTCGAGGACGTGTGGTACCGAGGGTTGAGGATCGTCGGTTGAGGAATGGTAGGTCTGTTGGTAAGGGTTATTGAGGGTGAACTTTATGCTAAGGCCACGATGATACCAGTGATCAAGGTCTGGGTGTTGTCTGCATGGCCGTCTGTTTCATAAGTATACTTGCTCTCGTTGCTGACGACAAAGGTTGACGCGGCGTTGCCTTCACATTCGCTCGATCTCGGCCTTAGCACACTCAGGTATACGGATCGGAACAAAAAGGTTAAAGACCCTGAAGCTGAACTTCCAGCTGTTTCGCCTTCCGAAACATTCGCTGCGAACGACTTACCTCGCACTGTCCTCCTGCTTCCCCGTTAGATGCCATGTACTTCTTCTTTTCTCATCCGTAAATTCAGGGTAAAACGTTTAATTCGGGGTAAGGCGATGGTCTAGGCTTGAAGGAGGCTCCTGCACTGGCTATCTTTATTTTTGCAGCTGTCCAGAACACATGGTACTGTGCGCTTTGGCGAGCGAATGAAGTTGGCCGTATTTAGGATTTTGGTTTTTTGACACCAGGCTGGACTGTGACTCGCTTGGAGCACATGTGGGAGTGAGTCGCTACCACTAAGTTCTCTTCAGCTCGTGGTTTGTGTTGAGTTGTTTCCACGTTGCTGTTCAGACAAGCAACGAGAAAGAACCTGAATCTAGGTACATGCCTCGCGATGCGAAGACTGGTGCACGTAAGCTGAACATCGCGTGGTTTTTGATTCGAAGAACAATGGTACACAGGCGAGGGTGACAGTGATGTGGTGAGGTTATTCGGAATAGCTGCGAGCGTACATATGAGCGTGACGAAGGCTACGTGGGCGAGCCGTGCAGTCTGCTAGAAGCGAAGGTTGCCTTGAAGTTCTCAACACGCCTACCTCGCTCAACACCGGCATACTCTCGCATACTGGCGACACGATGGCTGGTACCATCGCCTAGGTCCGGGTCTTAGCTGGCCGTTTGACATTCGTTTTGTAAAGCGGTAATTGAGGGTGGCTCAGTATTTTGGTTCGGCAGTACCAGTGCCACAGCGTCTTTCCTCACCCACCCTGATTATTTTTTCATCGGAGAAAATGTATCCGCCGAATGATGGAGGGCACTCGTCATGCCGAATTCGCTTCGAGGAATGAGAAAAGAATGTTTCTGCATGCGAGAAAGTCAGATGATAGTGTTCATTGGGACTCTGCAGTTACGCGCGTAGTCAACGAGATCTACAAAGACCCAAGGAATACTAACACGAATACAGTCATGTCTGTGTTGCACAAGCGGTCAACACGCGTTGCAGCAGTCAGAATGAGGATGAGCAAAGTGCATGCACCGTCGTGACTGCCCAGATATGATCACCCTCTTAGCGCCATGACGCACATGCACACTCGCCCTTTCTTTCCTTTTCGGTCACTTAGGGTCCACACCAACTCTAGCAGACCCTCCAACACCACTTACCCCAAAGCGAGCTGGTATCTCTAGAACGAGCTAGCTCCTCAAGCGAACGCGTCGATCGGATAACCTTGCGTAAGAGACTATGGATTTGCTTCTTACACTCTGCGAGGCTTCACGCCAGTTTACTTTTTGGGGTCACCACCACACACCGTAATCTCTCCCTGCAGTAAACTGTCGCTACACCTCCTTTACGACGGTCGTATCTAAACTTCGACTATGGCAGCACTTCGGCATAGGTGATGGCGGGCCTCATTCGGTAACTGGAGCTTCGAATTGGGAAGAAGATGGCTGAGATGGACTAGGACTATCTGCTATCGTAAGACTATGCCTCATTGAACCTCCTACTGTAGATACGTCGCGGCTGCTTGCATGCTGCTTGCATGCTGCCACACGCATCGTCGTTCCGCTTGTCTCGCTTCCATCTAAGTAGTGTCTTGACCACTCTCGTGACCAACACCCCCTGCTGATGCATCCCCTTGAGTAGATGAATCGCCGCCATCGGTGTCCCCATCCATATCTTTCATCTGCAGCATGATACCTGTTAGATCCCCGTGCAGATTACGCAGATATGCCTTCTGTTCGTCGCGCAGTGATTTATTTGCAGCAGAAGCGCCATCGAGTTCCTTCTGCAAGTTCTCGCAAAGACGCAGTGTAGTGTCATTACGTTTCTTCAGCTCTTCATATTGCTTGCACAATGTGTCATATGCTGTCTCTAGTTTTGTGATAGTCCAGTTAGAGTCGCGCTTGCTCGGTGATGTCGTCGACATTGTGAAATCGGTACCTGGGTAGCGAAAAGATGATGCGGAGACCTGGCTTGTAGAGCGACACAGTTATATATGCGAGTTTATTTGCGATAGTATGAAAATCTATATACAGCGTGATCAATGAACTTCACGCAATCGCCCAGCCATCTAGAAGGCAATCAATTGGCACCATGACTGACCTGACAGTGATGTTCGGGTGCTCAGCAAATTATGAGTAATACGGAGTATGACAATCTACCTTTCAAGTCCGCCTGACATATCATAGACAGATACATGACGAGTAGACTTGTTCAATAGGCTGCTCACTTGTCAAAGCGTTCGTGTAGACTGCTTGAGCCTTTTGTGGTTTGGAGATAGACAGCTCGAGCCAGCACGAGGTTACGAAAACCTGATGTCAGAACTGCCGTGGTGACATGGCAGAAGCTAGAGAAACAGGTAGCATTTGTTCTATAGTCGTCTTAAATTTGATGTATCATTATGCCTTCTACGTAGATCTGGTTTAAAGGTTTCATCGCTCCAATATATACTGTATGCTGCAAGACTCAACTCAGTCGCGACGACACTAGAGACTGACCATCATCAGTCATAAGTCTCCGCTACGCATCCCTCACCATTCTCGTATGCGACTGAACATGAGATTGGAAATGAAGGAAATGAAAACTATCGCGAACGTACTCTACGGGCGAAAAAGACTGGCTCTGGACAGCGTCGACGCAGCGGCAGAATTCTTGACTGTGATCTACAAGATGTTACTTTTGCAAGCGAAACAATGCTTGGAGACATACCTGTTGTCCCTCCGTTCCAGTCTGCTAGTCACCAGGCTTCTCGACTTGATGTGGTTGTACCGTGGGCAAGCCTGTGTCACTAGCACCGGCCACCGCCCACTTGCATTTGATTGCAGCGGTCATGCTTTCCAGTGAAGCTCGCGCTCTGTCGAGACAACTGGTCGTACTGGTCAAGACAGTCCTATCTGAGTCTACTCGATCCGTTAGTGCACACACTTCAAGCAAACATTTGACATACCAAGGCTCGCTTTCATGGCGTTGACGTCAATTTGGGTCAGGATGATGGGAGTCCCCAGGATATGCGAGACGGCTGCGCATATTCCCTCGATGTCCTTACTCTCGTGGACAACTGTGGCCGTTGTTGGGTGAGTGAATTTCTTGGTCTCGTTATGCAGTCGTTTGGCGAACTCGAGTGCCGGGCGTGATTCGGCTGCCATCGTTGCTGGGCAGGTGCTGATTCAGCAGCGGCAAAGTCAGATATGATGTTCGTCCGATTCATGCCCGGCAGATTCTGTTGCGCTGAGAAGGTGGGGTGCTCCTTCCCACGGTGACATGCCAAGACCCAGGTATAGAGACCAGCCTTCGACCTCACTCTGATCCTGATCCCGATCTCCTAACACTCTTCCCATTCATTTCGTGCTCCGAGGCCACTCTCGACACAGCGGAATCTTCCTTCCCTTGCTTCTGAATATTTGCATACGGTGACGAGTCACTGCACATGGACAATCGCAGTGGTAACAGCCAGAAGCGGGATTGAGACGTCGAAAGCATGACCAGACGTATTGACACCAGACAGGAGATGAAGACGGAGACGGAGAACACACATGCAGAGATGTACAATCTAACAAAGTTGGATATACGAATCGCACCCTAACGCCACCCAAGCCATTCCATAGTTGGACCCAAACATGCTATTACTACAATGATGCGCGCACTCAGAAGACGCTGATGTAGTTACCAATGCGCTCCTTTTGGTTCTGCGCGATGCACTCGGCTATCCATGTGATGTTCCGGATTTCCTGCGTATCATGTCAGTCATTGTATTCTCTTCATGATGGAATCCACAACATACCTGCTCGCGCAGCTTCACCCATGCGTACACAATGGCGTGAGTGAACTGGTGAGTGAATGCAAGCTTCGAGATCTCCATTTCTTTCTGGTAAAAGAGATCCTCGAGACTCCTCGTCTCACCACCGACACCACCGGCCATGTTGCCCACACCACCGCCACCTCCACTAAGGCCGGTCTGGTCAAAGAACATTTTGTAGTCGGCAACACTCTCTACAGCGATTCGCACACCCTCTACATCGTCCGCTCTCGAGAGCATTGTGGTTCCCTCTGGGTATAGCTTGCCGAAGCCTGGGTAAAGCTTCTTCCTGTCTGCCTTGGAAAGTTCAGTGCCGAACGAGTTGAGGGAGATGTTGATGCTCCTGCGGTCGGCCTCGAACTCCAAAACCTCCGACATGACATCTGCAGTCGGTGTTCCGGCAATGTCTGGGCAGGAATTGATCCACTGATGGAAATCCTCTAGATAGTTCTTGTACAAGGTGTTGCGGATGATCTCGATGTTGAGTTCGTCAAGATCCTGATGGCTGAGCGAGCCCTTGAAGTAGGGTGCGAGCGGCGTCTCAATCAGGACGGAGTTGTACAGTTCCTCGATATTGGTCGCCACGCACAGCACCGGCATGGTCTCGAACCAGCCGAGCGGGTGACACCTTTCCAGCAACTCGCGCGTATCTCTCTCGTGCAGGGTACCCGTAATCAGCAGCGCGACATTGTCGATCATGTATCCGTACGTCAGGTATTCCATGAACTTGGAGAGCGAGCCGGTGGCGTTGGCCTGGAGATAGCGGAACTCGGCCACGAGCTTGTCGGTGGTCTTCGCGGCGAGCGCAGACGTGGACGGGTTCGGGGGCAAGTTGTTGAGGAAGTCACCGTACGCGGGCGAGAGCTGCAGCTTGACATCTGTGGCATTGTTAGAGCGGTTCCAGAGGCAGTAGCGACGGGATGCGATGTACCGTCGATGGTTTCGCACTGGGTCAAGTTGCTGTAGTTCTGGCTGGTGAGCAGTGCATTGCGGTAACCGCGCACGATGCCCTCGATGTAACTGTAGAGAAGTGTCAGATATGAGTGAAGCGACGATAAACGCGTATATCGTACCCGTATTTGACGTTGTAGTAAAGGCCCTCCATGATGCTGATGCTGGCTGCTGTCGACCGTCGCAGGCAAAGAGCTCCAGCTTGGTCGTCATGCCAAGGCGTGGCCCGTGTCGCGCCTGCCTCGATGGTGCTGGGGTGTTTACGCGCTAGCCCCAATGGCCGGAGGTGCATGTACAACTTTCTTAACTCCATCGCAACTTCCCTTGCCAACGCACCCCGACAACGCAACCATCCCAACACACCTTCGCAGCTGCATCTGTCATCAGATCATTCACTGCTTATTGGCAATTGCATCGCAACTGCCTCGTACGTCCCCGCTGCTGTTGCGCACCGCTCCTACTGACCTCGCTCGCAGTACCATGTCCGCTACTACACGGCGCTCAACGCGTCGCACTGCAGCGACAGCGGCCACCGAGTCCTCGCAGCCCGCCTCCAGGCAAAGCTCACAGTCGGCGTCGCCTGCGCCAGAGGCTGCTCCCAAGAAGAAGCCCGGTCGCAAGCCCAAGGCTGCCGCCGCCAAAGTCGAGTCGCAGACCGTGACAGAGTCGCAGCAGACAGTCACCAAGGGTCGCGCTACGTCACGCGCAAACGCCGCTTCCGCCGTCATCACAACAACCACCACATCATCAACAACCAAAACCGCGACGCAAGCGCCTGTTGTCGCCAAGAAGCTCACCAGAGCCGGTCGCCAGGCGCTGAAAGAGGCAGGCGTAGAGGCTTCGCCGCAGCGCAGCCTGGAACAGACGAAGCCCGCCAAGCAAGGACGCGGCACAGCCCGCCAGAAAATCACCAGCGAGAAACGAAAGGCAGTGGCCGCAAAGCTGGCGGCGGCTAAGGCCATCGAGAGCGCCGAAGACGAGGCAGAAGCCGAGAATGAAGATGGCGTGGGCGCCTTCTTCACAAAAAGTAAGCACCAACTTCTCCATAGTTACACCCCTTCAGAGGAAGAAATCGACAACGAGCTCCGCAAGGAAAAGTACGAACAGCAAGAGAGGGAGATTGATCATCTCCGCGAGCGTGTCACAAACCAGGAGGCTCGCATCCAGAATCTCGTAGAGATGATGTGGCAGAAAGATCAGCAGATGTTCCTTTATGAGAACGAGAACCTGCGTCTGCGCATGGAAATCACGCGACTAGAGAATATTCCACACATTAGCTACGGTACTCCGGCTAACGTCAATTACGCAGAATTCGACAGTGAACTAGTAGCAATCAGCGAGTCATCTCCGGCACATGGTGTGTTCGTGAATGGCAACGAGGAAGCCCTTGCGCTCCTCCACAAGATCGAGAGCTCTGCCAAAGAAACCAGGCGCGTTGAGCCCTCAAGCAACGACAGTGAAACATTCTCAGACAATGACGTCGCCATGGAACCTTCACCACAACAGCCGTCTGCTAAGAGAACCTTCGAGGATGTCACAGCAACGCCCAACCGCCCCGTCGCAACACCATCCAACATCTTCAGCAGGTCATTCTCTGCTATCAAATCCCGACTTTTCTCCTCGACCCCCAAGCCCCCGCCAACCCCCGAAGTCGCGTCGCCCACCGTTACCAAGCCTCTACCACCCCAGAACACAATCACCGAGACCCTCTCCCTCCCTCCTACACCTGTCGGCGAGCGCGTCAAGACCCCGAACAAGAGGCGTGCGCCCATGAACACACTGCTGAAACTACTGCTCAAGGGCGTCGACCGCAAGGACAGGCACAAGGCAGAGGAGTGGGCTAAGCAGGTCATTCCTGAACTGAAGAATGATCCTGCTTTCAGCGAGAAGCGTGCGCGTCTTCAGAAGGATGTTCTGTGCAAGGAGCTGTCGAATTTCCCCTCAGCCAAGCCTTGGGAGACTGGCTTCGGCGACCCGCTTGGTGATCTAGACGATGACGATGTTGTACCAGTCTGGGCTGTATATCTCGATATCGTGGCTGAAGAAGAAGAGCACACCGCTAAGAAGCACAAGAAGACCCACGAATTCACGACGGGCGACGACGAAGTTCCTACCATCGACGAGCAGTTCGCCGCCAGCAACGGCGCGCGCACTTCACCAAAGCTTTACAACAGCCATGGCCAGTCCGCTTCACTCCGTGACTTCCACCCTCGTCGCTCAATCGACCCATCACCCATGTTCAGCAACTCCATCTCACACAACACCGGCGGTAACATCTTTAGCGAACTACAAGGACACGACACCGCGGCACAGATCCGTGAGAACGATCGTGAGGTCCTGAAAAGCGCAACCAAGGAGAACACTCACTCCCATAACCCAGGCATGGGCTCTTTTAGCGTCCCCGATGATGATTCTGATGAAGAAGACTCCACAATGGGCAGCGAGAGCGCTGATGCTGAAGCTACTCCTATCTGGACCCAACCACCCCCACCAGCCCCCGTTCCTGCGCATGCTCCCCTGCCAGGCGGATCTACGGATGAAGCGTCTGATGTGCCCGAAGCGCCCCCAACCCCTACTCGCCAGCAGCCTGGAGATGAGATTGAGCGCCAGCGCCAGAGACTCATGAAGCACACACCTGCTAAGCCTTCCCGTCTCCGCGAGGCAACTTACCCATCACCAAGCATTCTATCGGAAGCTGGCAACGTGTCACTTCTTGCCGCTACTCCTGCACAAATGGCAACTTCCGCATCGTCCATGTTCGACGACATGCCAGGAGCGGAGATTATCGAACTTGATGACGAATGTCAAGCTGAATTCGAAGAGATCATCAACAGCCACGAGTATCAGCAGAAGTTCAATGTCGAATGGCAAGCGCCCACCCTCACCTACGAGTCAGATGAGGAGGAGCCAAGCCCTACCTCCTCGTAAAAAATTGTTTATACTGCATTGTTTCGGCGTTCCTCACCTTCACACGAATCGAAATTGATCGGCCGGAATCAAATTCCTTGCCTCTGGGCAATCTTCTTTATTGTATTGCTTTTTCTCTCGTGTTTGCATAGCTGTGCGTTGGTTTTCGCAAGTATACGACCTCTCGTGGGTTGAAAGATGCATTTCTTGTTGGCGTTCTCCAGGGGCATAAACACGGATGATTGACGAAAGCTGTATACCCCTCGGCCGTTGTATGGTCGAACACTAGGCGCACGTTTTAGCCTAGTAATTGCGTTGGTTTCTTGTTCCCATAGTTGCTTGTTTGAATAGCTTTAATATCGACCGAGAAACGTACATTCCTGAATATTGTCGCCCGTGATGTGATGACTCTAGCTGACAACAGGCGGCAAGAAGGAGTTAAAAGAACTTAAGGTATTAATGATCTCAGATCGACGTCAAAGCTGTCAAAGCAGTCAAAGTCGTTACATTCGTGGTTGCCGTAGTCTGAACTCAGCGGGGAGGTTAGGTGTTGCTGCGCTCTGTCTGTGACGATAGTCCGGACTAGGCAACTAACCGCCAGCCGTCGATCGCAGCAGTAGGTGCCTACATTATTACCACACGCCGTCTGAACGTCGAAGACCCATATATGTTAGGTAAGCAATCTACCGAGCGCACACCAATCGAACAAAACTCACATTCTGACAATAATCAAACAATTGTAAAAATCGCGATGTCTTCAGAAAAGAGCCACCGTCGTAAGTAGCAGCAGTTTCACGCCGCTGTGCACGTAGTAATAGTTTGAGCAGTATACGTCAAAGCCCGCCATGTCAGCTACCAGCGCGGCAAACGCAATACAAACCCCAACGTGAGCCTCCTCGCGCTTGAGGGCGTCGACAGCACGCAAGACGCGCAGTGGTACCTTGGCAAGCGCGTCGCATATGTCTACCGCGTTGCCAGCAGCAAAGAAGAAGGTCCTCGTGTGATCTGGGGCAAGATCCGCAGGACACATGGTTCGTACAGCTTGTCAGACTTGCGAAAGAAAAGATATTGATTCAAGAACAGGCAACTCTGGTGTTGTTCGCGCATCTTTCCAGAACAACCTCCCACCAAAGTCGTTCGGTGCGAGTCTTCGGGTTATGATGTATCCCAGCTCGGTTTGAGAGCTGTTGGACATGGGAGAAGGAGATTTGGGAGCATTAGATGGCGTTAAGGCGATTTCGGGAATGGCCAATAGCCAGGATTGGAGTTTGTCTGCAAGATTATATACCATGTCCATTGCAATAGATGCAACATTTTGAGGTTTAATACTGGGCGCGAAACTTCGTATGACAATTCATTGTCGGAGACCACAATAGAGCTGTATTCCCTTGTCGAAGAGCAAGAGTGACGGCAACTGTGGAGCGAGGCTGGGGATTGGTGTCTGTGCTGTGAAGGTTTACGGGTAACACGTCCTCGGCGAGCCTTCCTATATTCATCCACGGCTCTTATGATAAGAACGACACCATCAAGGCTGGCACCAAACGTCGGACAATCATGGTGGAATCTAACTCATATGGTCTCAAAAGAGACATAAGAAGACGTACGTTTTCGTCGCAAGGCGATGCTGTCATCAAGTGCAAGCTCAAGAAGACCATTGCAAGCGGTGCTGCCACCGACCGGACTTTCTTTTTCCTCGGTCTATCGCCGACGGCACCCATCCGACAACCGCCCAGCACGCACCTCGCATCGAAAACCACCACCGGCCCTTCAACAGGGCCACACCAACACCGCGGCTTCTGAGATCGGCAAATGCGCCCCTGCACATCTCCAGTAAACGCTGTGCCGGTTGACAGATGGTCGAACCATACGTCACAGCGACATGCAGATCGTGCAGCACGTGCCGACGCCGCGCATGATGATCCCTCCAGACTACCCCGCAAAAGCGCCGCTTGCTACCCCAGAAGCCAAGATGCTTTCTACCCGCCTCCACACAAGAGGCTCGATTGCGCTGAGGGGAGGCAAGGCATGCATGTAAGTGGGTAACGCTGCCGAAGAAGGTATGCCGTTGAGATGGATGATGTCGGGCTTTGCATTCTACCGAGATGCTTTAAAGGGTAGGGGATGCAATCGTGCATTGCCCTGCCAGCCTCCTCACCCGCCTTTGCATTGAAGCAGACGCGGTGCAATACTCACACGATGGCGACAGTATTCGATCACGGCAAGCTCTCTACTGAGCACCAGCGGGCTGAGAATGTCGCGGAGAAGATCTCGAACTCCTCCGGAACTGGCGAGCTTGAAGCGCAAAATGTCGAACTGGAAGAGAAGGAGGCAGCGCGCGTCTTGAGGAAGGTTGACATGAGACTTGTTCCTATGCTTTCGCTCCTCTATCTTGTTGCGTTCATCGATCGGAGTAACAGTACGTTTGGACATATTCATTTCTGAGAGATACATTGGAACGAATTGCTAACGTGTTGTAGTCGGTAACGCGAAGATTGCTGGTATGACGGAGGATCTCAAGATGAACGGTATTCAGTACAACACTGCCGTTACTCTGTTCTTCGTCCCGTACACAATTCTCGAAGTACCTAGCAACATCGTGCTCAAGATGATGCGACCAAGTCATTGGATGGCGATTCTGATGTTCTGCTGGGGTCTCGTCATGACATTGATGGGACTCACGTCCAGTTACGGTGGTCTGCTCGCCGGAAGATTCTTCTTGGGTGTGACAGAGGTACGCCCCCAACATCTTGGTTCAAGCTGGTGAACACTTGCTCACATTCGCAGTCTGGCTTCTTCCCCGCAGCAACATTCTTGCTTACTCTCTGGTATCGTCGTTTCGAACTTCAGCGCCGCATGGCTGTCTTCTACGTAGCCGCCTCCCTCGCCGGTGCTTTTAGCGGTCTCCTCGCCTACGGTATTGAACAACTTGATGGACGCTCTGGACTCGCAGGATGGCAATGGATCTTCCTGATAGAGGGATTGATTCCAGTAGCGCTCGCGCTTATCATCTGGAAGATTCTCCCCGATAGCCCAGAGACTGCGAAGTTTCTGACACAACCGGAGCGCGACTTGCTGGTTTCCCGTTTAGCGAACGACTCCGGGTCTGGCCAGGGACAAGCCACCAACAGCGACAAGATTGGAAAGGAACAGATTCTTGCTGGTCTTTCTGACTGGAAAGTTTGGGCTGCTACGGTTATTTTCTGGGGAAACACTGTTGGTGTTTATGGGTAAGCTAAAGACACCCACATTTGCTGCCGGTTCCTCTCTGACAGTTTCATACAGATTTACCGCGACCGTGCCCTCTGTCATTCAAGGACTCGGTTACACCTCTGCCAACGCCCAGCTTCTCACGATCCCAATCTACGTCTTCGCCGCTATTCTTACGCTCATCTTCGCGTGGGCCTCCGATCTGACACGCAAGCGCTCCCCATACATCATTGCAGGCTACTCGATCGCTGTATGCGGCTTCATCGCTCAGCTTGCTATCCCCAAGCCTAAATACCCCGGCATCACCTACGGTTTCCTTTTCCCCGTCGCTGGTGGTCTCTACTGCCCCTTCACATGTCTCGTCTCCTGGATCGGCAACTCCCTCGCCCCATCGTCAAAACGCGCTGTTGGCATGGCTCTGCTTATCTCCGTCGGAAACATGGGTGGAATCATGGGCAGCAACGTGTATCTGTCACGGGAAGCACCAAAGTACACGACAGGTTTCTCGGCTAGTCTGGCCATGTGCTGCACCGCGATCCTCATGACTTTGGTATTGAGGTGGGCGTATGCGAAGGAGAACCGCAAGAGAGATGAGTTGATCGCTGAGCATGGAGAAGAGGCTATTCGCGCGAGATACTCCGAGCAGGAGTTGTTGCTCATGGGTGACAAGAGTCCTTTCTACAGGTACACTTTGTAGTCCCTTTCATGGGAAAATAGTCTAGTATATATTCTACATGTAACAACCAAGGAAAGCAGCGTTTATCTGACATGAGGAAGAGGCCGCGAAAGTTGCTGATCCTCACATGAAATCAGCTATCAACAAGTGCGCAGTGGCCAAGACATACTTCTAACATGCATCGATACTAACCTAGGCAGAGGTAATAAGGGACTGATGAGTGAGCTGTTAGCGTCGTCCCACTGAAAGCACAAGCCTCATCAACTATTACAGTCAATCGGAAGCATATCAGCCTGTTGATTGAATCGACTTTGTAAGTGAGCGACAGATTCTACAATCCTTTTCAACACAAGACAATAAAATCGAGTCTCCCCCGTATCAATTAAACAGCCATGAGACGGAACTCCGTGTTCTCAGAGCCGTCAGAAAATTGCCAGCCAATCATGTCGGTACCGCTGGTCTTGCCACCACCAGCGACATTGAGCTGCGTCTTCCCATCGACATTGTTGATACTAAGACAGGCACACACGCGTCAGAAGGCGAACTCAAGCCCAAGTGGAACTGTACGGGACCACTTACCGGTAAGAACCGTTTCCGCAGTGCACGATCTTCCAGCGGATGGTGCTGTCGAGCGGCTTGCGAAGCTCCGTCTTGATGTAACCAGCTTTTGGCCCTAGGTAGATCAGTCAGATAAGGAAAACATATATGTCAGTCTGGTCTCGACTTACCGGCCGAAGTCAGATAGAGGCCAGAGCAGGCGGCGATGATATGGTATTCACGATCGCCTTTTTCGGGCTTGGCGTCTGTGCCTCCTGCTGCTACGATCTCAAAATGAGTATTGTTGGCGCTTTTGGTTCTCTGGCTGGATGAAGTTAGTCAACATGCTCTCTATCTCTGACCGTTCGAGTAACTTACTATAGCTTCACTTGCGTGCCGGCTGTCTCTGCTGCGCCCCAGACGTTCAAGCTCATCTCCGGAGCATATCTGGGCAGGATTTCGTACAGTCCGGGGCCGGTGTAGTCGGACATTGTGATATGTTTGAGAAATTATGAATGGTCGAGAAGAGTGTTAGTCTGATTATGATGAGGAAGATGCGATGCTGATGGTATTGAAGCTTTCAGTGAGCACTGGAGGTCTTATGTAGACTTTCAGAGCAACAAAAGCAAGTCCCTTCGTCTCATACTTTCTGCAGAAAGTGATCAATAATCTTGGCTGCAGCACAGCTTGAGAGTTCTCGGCTGCCAGATGTATCCCTGGGAGCCGGATGCCTGAAAAACAAAGAAAGATTTGGGCCTATGATAGAACCTACCAGACCTACTCATCTGAGTCATCTATAGTACTCTGAGCCCTATGTGATGGACTGCTAACAACGTCTTTGGTTGGTGTCTAGTCTGCACATGCAGATGCTTCTCTTTGCCACCAACTAGTGTTGCTCGACACCATCTCAATTGTCCTGATCTATTTCTAGTAAGGGCTAGTTGTATCGTACGATCCTCGTAAACGGGGTAAGGGGAGGCGGTGCAGGACATCAACCCAGTGCGGATTAGAGCAGTCAAGTTTTACCGTGGCGAGACAATCAAGCAGACGCCCATCACCATCATCTGAAAGATACATCAAGTACATGAACAACGGAATAGGCGGATAAAATCTGCTGAGCCAGAGTTTCCGTCCATATAACAAGCATGAAGAAGTGCTCCTACCTTCAGACTGTTGTCACGGATTTACTCTTGGCACATCGGACAGGTGGCACACCCACTGGCCGGTTGGATGACAGAGTTCTCTTCTGTAGTATGCATGGGCAGGTGCTGAATATGATATCGGTCCGACTCGCAGTACCGTAACAATCAACGTGGTGTGTGTCGTTCGGCGCGACGACGCAGTAGGTTTACTCAGGCATAACGGAGGTTGTACTCTGTAAACAGATTTTCGCAGGAAGAAGAATCCCCATAATCGGCTTTGCTCGAACCAATTCCTTTCTCCGTGTCTGTCAAGGCGACGTCCCCATGATGTGCGCTGATGAAGTAGACCGATGATGCTTCACTCTGGCTGTTCGCTAATGCAATACGTGCGCTGCGGCATCACCCTGACGATGCCTACACGTATATTAGCACCCACATGCACAAACAAACCTACGGAAACACCCGGATCTATCCCAAAAATGGCATTTGGGTTCGACTAAGACCTTCCCGACCGATGCGAGATGCTTGCGTGGGGCACTGATAGACTTTCTCGAATACGGCTTGAGTGCTTTCAGAGGATGGAGACTGTGAAGGTCGTACCCAACAATCCGCAACTTGCCGTGCTCTAGTAGAGCTGCAACAAAAGGGTAGAGAGGGTGTGTGGTCCTGCATCAAAGTTGAATCCTACCGGCCATGTCCCATGGGTACTCCCGATCCCGCGCGCCCCGTCCCGCACACCTTTTGCCCACACCCATCGCAGGGGAGTCGAGTAGGTTACCTGTGACTGGACTAGACCCCTTTGCTAGTCTGTTCTTACGAAAGTGTACCCACACACAGCGGACATGCTATTGGTTCCCGGGGGACTCGAGCGGGATGCGGGCAGTCTGCAGCTTGTTAATACTATACCTCTTGCCATCACCCAGGCGGCTGGTACATCAGCCGACGTGCCCGCATGGTAGCAGCAGATGTGGGTTAGATCAATTATATAGGAAAGGCGGTCAGCTACAAAACGCAGATGAACGTTACACAGACTTGAGAAGGCTGCAACAAAAGCAAATACAGCCAAGGACAGGAGGACAGGAGGACAGATGTAGCGCCTTTAACAAGAACCCAGCCGCTTTCTGGACGTGCTCCGTGGTACTGATCACGTAAAGTATGCGGGGAACCTGCCTGATGTGGCTCTATAGGCCAATATAGCTGTCGTCGACGTCTGCCCAAGTGGCAAGGCAGAGTGGTTGCGTGCCCGTGAGGTGAGTCTATGGAGCCAATCGAGCTCCACTCAAGCCGAATTCCGCTGCCATGTATTGTGTAGGTTTGTCGGGATAAAGGGATCTTATCACGCCTTATGTATTAAGTGTTGCAGTAGGAAATAGTGAAAGGATTGTAAGAGGTATCGAAGTGTCAAGGTCGAAGTCCAGTGGGGCGACCTCGGGAACTTTCTAGATCACGGGCGGCAGCTGCCTGGCGCGACTAACTTTCTTTCAACCCTCCCATACCTTGAAGGATCGCGCAAACATAATTACACGGACGTTCCAACGCGCTACACATTTTTATCGCACGATCGCGCAAAGCACATATCGACTCACTGTATCCAGTCTAACGTGCCCGCCTTCGCCGTCGACCAGCTCGGCCACGCATCCTCCACGGTCGCACACCTCCAACTCCAAGTTCAGATCCACACGCAAATCCACCCACCATGGGCTCCGTAGTCCTCCCCCACCTCCGCACAGGCTGGCACGTCGACCAAGCGATCCTCAGCGAAGAAGACCGACTCGTCCTCATCCGCTTCGGGCGCGACTCGGACCCCGACTGCATGCAACAAGACGAAGTGCTCTACAAGATCGCCGACCGCGTCAAAAACTTCTGCGCCATCTACCTCTGCGACCTCGACGAAGTACCCGATTTCAAAGCCATGTACGAGCTCTACGACCCGTGTACCGTCATGTTCTTCTTCCGCAACAAACACATGATGTGCGATTTCGGAACGGGAAACAACAATAAGCTGAATTGGGTGTTGGAGGATAAGCAGGAGTTTATTGATATTATTGAGACGGTTTATCGGGGCGCGAAGAAGGGGCGGGGTTTGGTGGTTAGCCCGAAGGATTATTCTACCAGGTACAGATATTGAGGGGAAGCTCATGATGGGGGCACCAGGTTGGATTTATGGCGTATTTGGGATTTGGACACCAGTAGGAGATTGATACCAGTATGGAAGAGATTGGGCGCGGTTCCTGCTCCGAGTTCAGGAGACATGGATGAGCCGTGTGTAGGAAGTCGTAACGCAGCGAATTTGAAGGTACGACTGCATCATCACGACAGCCTTTCAGAGTGCTCACTTAGACTTCTCGTCAGGCGTTGTTTGGGACGTAGATAGTGTTCTGGTCTGAATGTTTGACCATTACGACACGCACGCAAACGCTTAACGACATGTCTGTCTACGACGTCCTTCGCTTTCTTCACGGCCCTGTTTTCTCTCTCGGTGCTCTGACGCTATCTTCCCATAACCCACCCCTGACGCCCCGCCAAACAGTCTCCAGTGTCGCCCTTCTCGGTAGCAGTCTCGGAAAGACGACTACCACCTCTCCCTCTCCTTCCACTACGATCATGAGGAAGAACCTCACTTCGAAGCCCTTGAAGGCCTCGTGTATGAAGACGTCCTGTATACTTGTAGTCGGTATGAAGCGCGTAGTGGGTGTTTGGAGATACGTAGAGGAAGTGGTCGAGGTCTGGACGCCGAGGCCGCGAAGTACGGTGAGTGATTCTTCTGTAATTTGTATTAGCTTGGGCTTAGGAGAGGCGGAGAAGACGGCGAAGGATGTACCTGTATAGTTTCGGCGGAAGACTAGGAAGAGTATGAGCAATGTACTAGGTACCAGATATCGCCATTGGCAAGCTTCCGCCAGCTTTACTAGTTGCCTTTCTGTCTCATGGCCCAATACACCCAGCGACAGATCCAGGGACTGAGCTTGTGTAACGCGCCATTTCATCCATAGCATCAGTACACTGGCTATCCCCAGCAAGACTCTCGTGAATATTCCTGCATAGTATGCTACCAAGGCGGGAAGGGTCTTGGGTACAGAACGCGTCGAAACGGTGTATGTGATGGTCGACGATGTGGGCTGTAGGACTTGCAGTGTCTGCGCAGGCGGAGAGTTGAAGCGATCGATAAGCTTCAACATCATATTTGAATTGAAGGAAGCATCGCTAAAGGGGGCCAAGTACAGACGGCGGGATGTGGGGATGAAAGGAAGCGTCGCGGGACGGGATGACGCGCTCCTGCTAGCTTCCTTATCGATAAGCGCAATACCGAGCTCACCTTTTCCACGCAGCTGCCTTACCTGCACTTGCTCTTCCCTCTCCACCAACACAACACATATCTCATACACACATCTATAGCTATGGAGTCTTCAAAGACAGAGCGCTCGCGTTCGCGCTCCCCTAGAAGATCCCCCGGCCCGCGCAAGCCCAAAACCTTCAGCGGCCTCAAATTCAAAGGCGACCGCGACCGCCGCGACCCAGACAGACGACGCGACGATCGCGACCGAGAAAGGCGACCAAGAGACTCAGATCGCGATCGCGACCGCAGACGCGATGGCTCCAGAGAGCGCGACCGCCGTCCGCGAGACAACTCCCGCGACCGAAGACGAGACTCAAGCCGCGACCGACGCCGCCGTTCCCGCTCTCGCGACCGCAAACCACGAGACAGCGACCGCGAGAGCAAACCCAAGGAGAAGAAACCCGCAGCCGCTCCTGCGGCACCTTCTGAGCACATGATCCTCGTCACTATCAATGACCGTCTCGGAACAAAGACACAAGTGCCGTGCCTTCCCAGCGACCCTATCAAGCTGCTGAAAGCCATGGTGGCAGCGAAGATTGGTAGACCGGTGCATGAGATTATGCTCAAGAGGCAGGGGGAGAGGCCGTTTCATGACAATTTGACGTGTGAGGATTATGCTATAAGCAATGGCGTGCAGATCGATTTGGAGTTGAATACTGGGGATTAGATGCGGGATGGTGGACTTTGGGATATCGGGGTTAAGGGAAAAAAGGCGAAGGGGGATTGAAGGATGGATTACCGTGGCAAAGATTGGAAGATGCAGCAACAAATCATGATACCCAATGAAGTTTCTCTTTTGCTCGACCAGACATGTTTCGATTGTAGTGTCGTGTGGAACGAGATGATCCGGGTTTAACCTACGCTTCTAGTCACCTACTCGTCCCCATCATCATCTCCCGTTTTAACGCGAGCATCAATACCCCTCCTCACTCTATACCGTTCGTTGACCACCTCAACAGACTCCTGCCTCTCCCTCTGCAGCAACGGCGTATAATTCCCCTTCGCCTTCCCGATATCCCCTCCATCAAACAACCGCGGTCCGCCCCTCGCTATCCCAATACTCTGCTGCTCAACCGGCACCTCAGCATCCAGCGTCGACTGTCCCAAACCCGCGATCTTATCAAGCAAAAGCGCCGAAAGCGTCTCATCGACCTTGTTCCCCCGCCACATCTCCCAGACATCATCGATCACACCGCCACGACCCCATTTCCCGCGGCCGATCGTGCTGGGACCGCCGCCTTTGCCTGTTCCCCTGGCTTTGGGCTCGCTGCCGCCTTCGTCGCCGATGTATACCCATTCTAGGCGGTCTTCGTAGCCGTGCTCTCGCTCTTCGGAGGTTTGCACTTCCGAGGCGTGGGGGAAGATGCAGTCCCATAGGACGAGTGGGGCGTCGGATGCCATTTCGTATTTGGGCCGTGTGGGGTTAGCGGTGATGTCGAGGAGTTGAGGGACTAGGGAGGGCGATTCGAGACCTTGGCCGATAAGGAAGAGGATCGAGACTAGGGAGCGGACTTGGTGCCAGAGGAATGCGGAGCCGTGGAGGGTGAAGGAGTATAGTTTTGGTTGCTCTCCATTCAGAGAGGGAGCGGAAAGAGCGGGGTGCGACAGGAAGCCTGGGAGAGATAGTGGGGAGACTTCCTCGATGTCAGCGTGGTAGATTCGCCGTTGGAAGTTTATTAGCTGTTTGCTCGCGTCGATTTTGCAGAAGTTGCGGAAGTCGTGGAGGCCGATTAGCTCTTTGCATCCTTTTCGCATGGCTTCGATGTCGAGCCAGCCTTCGCGCATCGTTTCTTGGTCATCTGCCGTGGTGGCACCGTATGCGCTGGGTTTGTATAGACCAGAGGAGCCGGGTACGGGCGCGAAACAAGGGTTTGTGAAGAAGTACTTATATCGCCGCTCTTTACAGGAGAAGCGTGCGCTGAAGTCTTCTGGTGGGTTTGGGCACCACGCGTAAACGCGAATGTCGGGAGGAAGGACGCGATTCAAAAGTTGGATGTATGGTAGTTCGTCGGTGACATCGTTGAATGGCTTCAAGGCAGCATCTTGAGTATCGTTTGAAGAAGGCAAAGATTCTTCGTTGTCCACTTCCTTCTCCCCTTCCACCTCTTCTACAGGTTTGGGCTTGTTACTCCTGACTCTCACACCGATGACCTGCCCAAACGCACTGACACCCCGGTCTGTTCTGCCACACTTGGAGTATTCGCAGCCATCCCAGTTTACATCTGCGCCCTCCCTATCCCATTTCGCAAAGGTCTTTCTATCGATCCTTTCAAATCTTTTCTCATCACCGTCCGTAGGTACGGGATTTATCAATCGTGTCTTGACCAGCGCCTTCCATACCTCTTCTTCGATTGTAGGCAACGGCGTGGTATTGTTGTTGTGATGCTCAAATCCATTGTATTTCTGCCCCAAATATGCGAATTTCAGTGCGATCAACCGTGTGGCGTATTTCGAGGCATCGAAGGCTTTGGGTGGCGGCTTGTTGGCTCTGCGAAAGGCTAATGAGTTTGGCGAGTCCGGTGGGGGAGTCTGTTCGTTCGTAGGCACCGAGGACTTCTCATCAGTCGGGCCTTGGGTATTCGCTCCGACTTGCTTCTCTAATTCTTGTATTCTTGCAATCAATTGCTGTTGCGACCAGTCTTCATACCCCGCCATGTTCACTTTCTTCCCGTAAGCTTTCCGCACTTGTACGCGTCGCGGAACTCTTGAGAGCTTGTGGAAGTCGCGCCGTGAGCAGAATAATCGATGTAGCGACTGTTGAAACTCTGGAAAAGCGTGGGGTAGCGGCCGGCGCATTGTTTGGCGACATGGTGGATGACTCTCAGCATATTTTTGGTATGCAGCCTGACGTTCAGGGTCCAGTGCTTCTAGCCGAGGCAGGCAAGGTCGAGCAATCCATCTCATAACTAGAAACTATGTCCTTTCGCAACTCAGCATCACGGAACTTCACCTAATCTACCTGTCCACATCTAATTACAGAACATGAAGCAAAATTCGTGCTCTATCCCTTCCTAGCAGGGCTCGATGGAAGCTCAATGGATGACTTTCGGGATTTGCAACTCCGCAAATAACATGCTATTCAGATTCGAGCGCTGTTTTATTTTACAAGATACCAATCGCAATGTCTCCCCTGATCCTCGCATAGACCTTGATATCCGCTTCTAAGTCCAGCTTGATGTGCACCTTCAGACTACCCTTCACGTCCGATCCATTATCAAGACCAAAACCCTCGTTGGCCTCTTCGTCTTCCTCTTCGTTGTTGCCATTGCCACCCCTCTTCTTCTTATTCTTGTTCTTCGGTCCTCCTACAGCGCTGGTGGCTGTGTTGCCTAGTTTGCCAATCGTCTCACCGGGTCCACCGTCGCGGCCGCCGGTGGCATTGTTTGCGGTATCGGTGAGGCTATAATCATGTTAGATATGGCATGACAAGAGGTATTGCAGATGTGACTGGCATACTTCTTGGTCGCGTCCGCCATCTTGAATTCAGTTTCTGGTGCGGTTTCGGAGTCCGGTGTTTGTGGTGGTGTGAGTTGGGGGTGCGGTGGAGGTATATTCAAATGCGGTATCTTCGCTTTCCTGCGATGCGGGAGTTGTGCTGACCACGCCAGAACTCAAAGTGTTGGTAGGGAGGATTTGAAGGAGTAGATTCCGATGGGATATGCGAGCAAGACTTGATTGATAAACTTCTCGATCGGAGGTGCTGGACGGACGTGTCCGAAGCTCCCGCATCTATCAGCCGCAGGTACATCATCGATCGACGGGTCGGCGAGGTGATCCTCGCGGGCATGAGTGGTGAATTGGCTTCGATATGGCCTGCGATTCGAGCTTGCTCACAGCTCTAATGCAGGAGGTAGGTAAAGCAATCGACTAATGCTGTAGCCTCGACTACAATTCCTCCATAAGGTTATGGTCTCTCGCCCAAAGCGGGCTCACAACTCATGAGTTCCAAGGATCAGCTATATGAGGCTTGTTGTTCGTCATTGGCGCCGGCATTCACTATTGATCTGTCGATCATCTGGAACTAAGTGGAGCGGGTACCGGAAGTTAGCCGCGCACTACTGCTTGATTGGCTTTGCAACTTTACTCATGCAGCCACATCATGATCGCCTCGACTTTCGTCATGGGCTTTTACGCGAGATGCATGAAGTGCGATTGTGATCTATTGCTTTTTGTCGCGTCGTGATGTAGGGTTTCCGGCACACCGCATGTGCTACCTCACCAGATAGCACATGTTACACTTTGTACCTAAACACAACCTTCAAAATATTCCAACGTACCGTCTCTGTATCAACAGACTGAGGAAAATGGTGTTCGGCCTCCTGGCTCTTGTGGGAACGGTCCCTATGACCGCAACATCCGTTCTGACCCTGCAAAGTCAAACAGAAAATGCAAAGAAAGAGGCCGAGGAGGAGGACGACGACTGGAAAGGCGAGAAATGTCACATGCGATGTCGAGCGACCATGAGAACGCCCGAGGACCGCAAGGAGCTGTTTAAGAACAGTCGAATTGTACTATGCGGCGGCAGGTTGTACGTCCAGCTATCAACATACGAAGGACCGACGCATCATCCTTTCACCGGCTATTACCTTCCTTTCCCAAAGAAAGATTTCGAAGGCATCGTATCTACGATCTCAGATAACCCGCCGCAGCTCAATTGGGTCTATCTGGATACCGACTCCGACATCTTTCAGTTCAGCCATGGACTACGCGTGGACGCAGAAGAGGGGCAGGCTGGGCCTTTCGACGCTCGCGTCGGCTCAAACGGAGAGAAGCGCTACACCTTCGAGAACTGGGAGGGCTTTATCGCCGTTGAGAGCGAAGGCGAGCCGGGTCTATGGAGACTCTGCTTCGACAAATACAACGATGGACTGAAGGGCAAAATCCAAGAGGGCCAAAGGACTGTCGAGGTGGAGCTGATACGGGAAGAGATGGAGGACTGATGGCTGATTGCGGTGTTAACGACTGTCCGTCTAATATCACAATTCGCGACAAACAACGTCTCAGAGGGTATTCCTTCATTTGGCGCGTTCACAACGACCTCCTGGAACTCAACCGAAGACGCAAGCAGTATAGTGAACACTGCCACGCAGTAGGAGGCGGTGTTTACTAGGAATCTGCCTCGTCATCTCCGGCCTCCAAGCAGACTGGCAGGTACCAGACAGCTGCCATCTACTGGCCTGGAACATACTCCGGTATCAGGTTTGCAAAAACGCATCTTGTAAATAGCTAGATTAGCTAGGTCAGGTTCAGGGCAAGCCTTGTTGGTGAATGCAGAGGATCGAATTGAAGAAGCGCATTGCGGCTGACGCGTGTCTCCCGGCGATCGCGAATCGAAGCCCGATGACGACACTAGCGCGACAATAAGCATCGCGACTTCCTGTCAGCCTTCCTACTTCCAACATCTTTATTATCCACTGCATCCCCTCGGCGACTTACAGCACTGTATCGCCTATTCCTGATTAAGCGAATCTACTCGTAGCATCTCCGTCGTCCTCCTCTCGTCAACATGTGCGACTTCGTTCCTCTCCCCTTGTGCATCCAGTGCGGAACGTAGGTAATTCGCGAGCTGAACGTCGATGCCTTTTCTAACAGCAGCAAACAGCGATCAGAACCCATGTCATTGTAAGGTTATTGGACCTACGATCGGCTTCGTAGTCACAGTTGGCATGGCTGTACGGCTACCCTAGATACCCCACGTACTCGCGACAACCCGCTCATGTTTCCCAGATCTTCTGTTGGCCAGCATCGCTTCTCTGCTGCTGTTGCGCAACTGATGCCGGAAAGAGGTAAGTCTCCTGGGCGCATTTTCGAACCTGATACTGACTGCAGCAGTGTACTGGCTTTACCTGTGGACACGGGCAATGCCATCAGCAATGCGATACCCATATGACGAACCTTGACCTATTCGACGAGACTTCCGCGACTTCCTATACAACCTATGCCTCTTAGCGCTTCATTTCGCACACACTATCACATTTGGATGAGCAAGGATTGGAGAACTGGTGAAGAGCTGGCGGTTTGAACATGATACCCACCAGCGACTGGATTTTTACGCGTTATAATACATTCGTACACGAGTTCAAGCTTTTTACGGTGAAGTTCACGGTGAGGGAAAATATGTACGTGATTCAGCGTGTCAGGCTACTACGTCTAGGTATGTGGGCTGACAAGGCGCGTTCACATTACGTGAGAACGCGTTTACGGTTTACAGTTTACAGGTTACCGTTTATAGATTACGGTTACCAGGCTACGGTTTATACGTCACAGTTTACAGATTACAGTCAACAGATTACGGTTAACAGATTACAGTACCCAGATTACTACAACAGATTCCGGCAACGCTTACTTGACTACAAGCCGCCTTCATGCTCCTCAATAGGACTGTTCGCTAACACTCTTTCACTTACAAAAACCTAATTGGGAAGCGAGCTAGAACCAGCGACTACGCACGGCTCCAACAATCAATTACTTCACCCACCTGCAGCGGCGCCCTCTCAACCCCATCTCCTCACCACTTGAGAGATGCGCGTGCACGCGGGTATCAATTGGTCATGAAAGAATAGCGGATACGTGCGCCCGTCTCTACCACCAACAATCTCCGCCTTTGGACACGCCAAAGAGCAAAGAGCTACACGCTAACAAAAGACCGTTTGCACAATTGCCTTTTTTGGATCAGTTTGCTTAGACAACAGACATGCGTATCTACTCCCCCGACCACGACATGGATTTCGAATACGATCCGGACGGATCTTCCGCGCGCTTTGACGACCCGAACCTGCCCTCTTGTACCGCCTATGGTCCCGACTTATTTGGAGAATTGGTTGGTTACGAGATGTTAGAGGCTGAGGTGGTAGCTCCTTGGTCCTTAGGAGAGCTAGGTTACACGAACGACGCGCAACACGTGCACACGGATAGTCGCATCGAAAGCCAGCAACACCTATCGGATTACTACGCGTACAGTCCGCATACGAATACTTGGGAAGATGGCCTGCAGGACATTGAGACATTCGATTGGGCGAGCGATGAAGACAATGAGGTGAACGCTAGTGAGCTGTCAAACAAGAACCAGGGCGAGGAAGAGGTTGAAGCTACCAGTGTCGCCGATACTCAGTGCTTGGATGACCAATGTCAGAATGCTGGTCCCATCAATCGCGAAGCCCCAAATCTCTTTGAAAAGGTAGATTCGCCGACCACTCAACCCGAAACTCCTGTTCAAAAGCTGAGCAAAGCCCCACTGTCTGATGGAACCGCGATCGTTCTCACAGAATCCAAGACGAGCGCGGAACACATACACCCTACGTCGCCAGCCTCGAAGCTTAGCCCGGAATGCGAAAAGACGACTTCGCATACGAACACACTTTCACATGTTACCGAAAAAGTAGAATCTGGTCTACCAGCGAACGATGAGAAGCATGTCGAAGCCCTGGATCTCATGGATATCGACGACCTCACTATCGTTGCTGAAACCGAGCGCTTGAACATCGACTCTCAGATGCAAGATAACGTGGCTGCCGAAGAGGGGACTGTTGAAACTTGCCCTATACCAGTCCTCCATGATGCTGAAGGTAACATGCTTTCCGAGATGCAATCTTGTTCTGGCTCAGAAGATGACAAGGCTGCGGAGGCATCAACGATCAGCCTTGCACCGGCTCCTTCGAGACATGACAGTCTCGCAGTGCACAAATCAAACCTGGAAATCTCTTCACATGCCGACACAGCTTCCCCCAAGCCACCGAAGGGTGTGTCAATGCAGCCAAAATCGCACGTAACCTCAGATGGAGTACAACAGACGCCGCATAATCCTGGTGGTGACTACGATGAAGAAGCTATTCAAAGTGCTTTGGAAGCACTGAGCCGAATCCAGACGCAGAAAGATCCTATGGACAATGAAGAGCAGCTCCATAACGGCTCCGCGATGCAAATTGAACCTGCTACCGAACCTCTACCATTGCCGCCAAAAGCGCTTCCTGAAGCGCGAGACTCTCCGACACACCAGAGAGCTGATCAGGAGCCGGAAGTCAGGTCTGAACTTACAACTTCCGTTCTACCAGATTCTTCCATGCTCACTGATGGTGACTCGCTAAGCCCAAAATCGCCTGAGGCCCTCTCGCGTGTCCAAGAGGATGTCGAAGGGCCATGGCAAGCGCAGTTGCGGGATGCGGCCGCCGATTCACTGCCTAGCGTTCTCTCCGGATCTTTGCCCTCAAAGAATCGTGATCATAGCGATTCCTCGATTAGCAAACCTCCGGAGATCGCAGATGGAGAGGCATCGGTACTAGCAAGTCCATCATCTGCAGGTCCGACGTCAGAGCTGCAGTTGGAAAGCAATGTGGCCTTGCCGCCCCTGCCGTTCCCATCTGAAGACGAAGTACGTCATGAGAAACCTCAGATCTCGCTTGCTGAAGTGTCCGCGAATGAAGAGAACGCAGGCGCGGCGAAACTGGCTCATAGGTTGTCCAAGCCTCCCGTCCCATTCGACGTGGAGCCACATGCTGCGGGTGGAGACAACACCACTAGACGCGACGTCGATGATAATACCAGTGTGGCAGCGATTCCCGAAGAAGATCGAATGGAATATGTATCGTTTGCCTACAATCTGGACACTACCGAGGACCTCGATTCTACAACGGCAGTACCTGAACCAGAAACTCAGCCTAATCACCCCCATAAGCGATCGAAAGCGTCCAAGAACACAGCGAGCGTTTCCGAAAGTGATTCAGACGGTCCAGTCAAGAAAAAGCGGAAGGCTAATGTCGCTTCTCTTGCAAAGGCACGTGCTATCAAAGCTGCAAACAGGAAGACTAGCAAAGCTCCCAGAGACCAGGAAGACGAATCTACGCCATCGCTAGCTAAGGGTAGACGTGCTGCGGTCAAGTCGAAGAAAGAGGCTGTTCATGTGGATGTTACCAACGAAGAACCGGATCTATCGACCAAGCATGGAGGTGCACTGAAACATATCGGATCATCTGAAAAAGCACCCATAGTAGTTGAGTCTGACGATGCCATCATCAGTGCTCAGTCCGATCTGGGAGGCGACAGTGCGGATATGCAAGAGCACTACAGCGACGTCGAGAAACCGGCAACACCCAGCAAGCAAACACACGCTGCTAAGATCGTTCTAGGTACACCAATGTCGAGACCATCAGTCTCAAAACGTGAACTTCAGGACCTTACTTCGACCTCGTATAGACAGCACCCCTCAAAGGCAAAGCCTATATCACGCAAGCTATTTCCACTCCATAAGCCGAATGCTTTGGACGAACTCATGTCGAGCATGCCAGCTTCTGCAGACTCGCCGACTGTTCCGACAAGCGACGCTGACTCTGTTGGTCTGTTCGGAGACTTCGGCGTCCCTGATACCACTACCAAGGCACTCAAACGTCCTGCACCAAAGCCTAGGACTACTCCAGCGAAAGCCGCGAGGGCGAAGAACGGCCCAGCAACTTCAGGGCACATGAAGAAAACCCCCGCTACTCGTAGTACAAGGAAACGCAGTGCTTCGCCCAAGAAGGAGGAAAAGAGCAAGTCTAAGGACGAGGAGGAGTATATCCATTTTACGGAGCCTCGGATTGATACTAAAGGATCTAGCCCGGAAATCGACGTGCCCACACCCCCGAGGCCCCTCAAAAGGTCCACTAAGCAGAGCATCTTATATGAGCCTGAAGGTGACTATGATACTCACGAGGACAACGACGAAAACGAAGACGACGACGATGATTTTGAAGACGCGCAAGAAACCATCGAAGCGTCTGCCGACGACAGCGACACTCCCCCGCCATCCAAGATGCCAAAGCTCAAGAACAAGCCTCTGATGCTCGGTGGCCATACCATCCGCCAAACCAGGTCTCGCGCCACCACCACCCCAGCTCGCAGTGTCGCTTCCAAAGCCAGCCTCGCCAAGAACAAATTCGGATTCACGCCTCCTTTGACACGGCAGGCGAAGAAAGCTGCCACACCTGCCCCTGCACCAGCCAAACCTGCTCCGAAGGCTAAAGCGCCGGCGAAGTCCAAAGCGGCCCCCGAGCCGGTCAAGCAGCCTTCGGTACGTAAGACGCGCCAGGCGTCTGCGATGGAGGAAGAGGGTAAAGTCAAAAGCAAGAGGAAGCTTAGGAGCGGCGGTTGATGGGCTTGAGCGTCAAGTGGGTGTAGTGGAGTAGTGGAGTAGTCGAAGGGATTGGCCAGCTTTGGGTAATTGGATAATGAGATGCTCGTTTTGCCATTGGCTTGAGATGAGTGAGAGATGGATCGGATAGTGTACAGCGATTTTTCGCATGTACGTAGAAAAAACAAAAAGGCTGTCCTGGCACTCGACTTAGGAAGAAAACGAAATACCATGAATGTGGCCAAAGTTTATCCGAATGCACTCTTGAAATCACCTCATTGAAGGGAAACGCTGAACACCCAGGGCCTTCGCTGACTTTCGGTCACATACTTTCCATGTTCCCATCTGACGTAAGCTCAAGAAATATCTAACTTTCTCTATAAATGAGGTGGAACTGTGTCTATATGTATTACTATATTACTAACCAAGTCAATCGGACCTATGTCCGCTTCTACACCGACTTAGTGGTAAAGGAAAGGAAAGGAAACACAAAAGAAGAGATTTATCAACGACGGGAGAAAGACTTGTATATGCAATAGCGAAGTGCAAATGCGCGACGCGAGAAACGCCAGTGTAATGCTTTGCTTCCCACCCACTTCCCCATCAACAATGCACCAACAATGACAGAAAACTCGACAAATGGAACGACAACGAGAGAGAAGCGACAAAAGTGGGAAACCTGATCCTAGACTCCAATATCCAAGTTCTAAGACTCGCCATGAACATCGCGGCACTCACGCCGCTCCTACGCAGCTGAGTAGCCGATGCGGTCGAAGTTTAATTACTGCAGTGAATGTTAGTATGGGGTTCCATATAGCGGTAAAAGAGAGTCGACTTACTAAATCTCCAACGGCGCGATCTGATCGACATTGTACAACCACCCACCACCCCTCTCCTCACTCTCCAACCAATCATATGGCCAAAGTACGATATGGCCCTGGACCAACTCGAGCAGCCGCTTCGCATCTTCCTTGTCAAGCATGATATCCGCATCTGTAGCGTTGAACTGCCTGTTCGATGACTTCGTGGTAGCGCGGCGACGGGAACGCTTGGTGTTAGAGCGATTGGGCGTGTTGTTACAGTTCTGGTTCTGGGGCAGCGCGTTGGGGTGGATAGGCGGCTCGGAGATGGTAACGCGTTGGGAGCGTTCGCGGTTAGAGTGGGATGTTGGAGGTGGGTTTTGCGAGTGCGATGCGAAGTCGGTGTGTGCGCTCTCGTTGGGGACGGGTGGTGGAGCGGGGAAGGTGAAGGTCTTCTCTGGAGGAGCGGGGTTCATGGGGGAGACTACGGCGTCGTCGGCGGGCTCGGGGGCTAGCTTCTCATTCAGCGCTGTGCCGGATGCGGTGTCCAGATGTAGGCCGCGCGTGGCAGGGGGAGGCGGGCTTTGGGACTGTACGCGCTTCTCTTGGTCATCGGCCCATTGCTCTACACCGCCCATACTCGAGTGATGGGTTGTTCCATGGACGTTCTCGCCGTTGACTCTGTCCGAGTTGTTCGTCATCTTCTCCGTGAGCTTCTCGCCTAGAGCGCCAACCTGCTTGCCGACAGTACCAGCAGTCGAGGTGAACTTGCTCGTGAGACCAGTACCGGGCGGGCCAGTCGTACCCGGGGCATCCTGCTGCTTGTGCATCTGGCTCTTGTCTCCGCCCTGGGATTTGGTGAAACGTTCCGAGAATGCAGCGTACTCCTGGTATTCCTTCCATGTTCGGACTTCGTTGTCAGGCATGCAGCGGAAGACTTGGCGGAAGAGCTTGGTGTTGTTCTCTGCAATTTGATGCCAAGTGTCGAGGAAGAAGGTGTCGTTGATAGGATCGCGCATGCAGTCCTCGGTCACAACAGGTCGGCGCATTTCCGAGAGAAGAGGGTTGATGACGGAAGAGGAACCCTGGCTAAAGGTTCGTTGTAGAGCAGGCGGACCGCCAATATCTGTATCATCCGAAATTGGCAACGCAGGCAACTGGCTGAGCTGTGTCAAGCCCAGCTTGAACGTGTCCATGCGAGGTAGCTTGGGAGGTGGGAGACCAGCATAGCCAGTTCCGTCAGTTTGTGCGCTAATGTTGCTGGCCCTGGTGCCGGTAGTACCACTGCGCTTGCGGGTCTTGAGTGTCGCGCTCTTCCTGGGCACGGCTGCAGCACCTTCAGCCGCAATGTCCGTGACGAGTTTCTCATGACCATGCTCGTCGATGTATGAGTCCCTGGCTTGCGTGATGATCGGTCGCAACTGCTCGACCTCCAGCATATGATCAACGCCCTCGCCACGAACATCTTTGCTATGTGCCGTGTTGTGTTGCACACGAGAATCCGCCGATGGCTTCTTGGTGCTTTGCAGATGGGGGTTTTGATCCTGCGCCCAGTCGAAGTCATGATTGAAGCTGTGCAGCTTCTCGGCCTTCTGTATGAGCTCATCCTGCATCTTGTAGTTGTTCTCTTCCAACTTCTGTTCAGTCGCACGCTGAGCTGTTGGTGATCCTGGGCCAGAGGACTCTGTCTGGAAACCGACACTATCGGCATCATCGGACATCTGGCTGAGCATCTCCTCCTCAGAGATGCAGTCGACATCTACACCCAAATGCTCCCGCATGAGGCGCATACGCAACGTGTGCGGGAACTTGCCCACCTTGTATGGCTGACCGCCCATGTACGAATCAAGTAGCTCAGTATCGCGGATGACAGCAGCTATCTCGGAGTCTCGTGATCCCAACATAGAACGCTCGTTGATGTTTGCAGATCCGATGATGGCAACTCGGTCATCGACTACCATGATCTTCGCGTGGATGTACAACTGCTCTGTGACCAGCATCTTGTTCGGGCCAACCTCGCCCCACGATCGGAGTGCGTAGAAGTTGATGTAATCTTCAGGTTCAATGCCGGCAGCTCGCAAGCGTCCGAAAATGGAGCCTTCACCACGGCAAATGCTGTGGTATTGACATGTCATGATGAGACGGACACTGCTGCCTTCTTGTTCGTCGACGGTGTTCTGGTATCCGGGCATCAGCGGAAGCATGATGCATGCTCTCCAGTCTTCGTCGTTGGCGTGGGCACGCTTGATACGGTCGACGATCGCATCGTTAATCTTGTTCTCAATCTTCGTTCCCAGCACTTCGCCGCTACTGATGTAGAACTGGTTCTCGATGTACACGAAATGCTCGGATGTGGCAATCATCTGCACGTATGCGTTCATAATACTGTGCTCAACCTTGTTGGGTGTACCCAAGGACCAGGCACAAGCGGAACGTAGGATCTGTACTTCGCAAGTTCCATCAAGCCCAAGAGCTTCTATATCGGCGGGGTTGAAGTCAGGCGGAGGGAGGAGGAAGGGTGTCGGTCGCGAAGGCTTGCGTTGGCGAAGGAGGTAATTCCATCGCTGTACGAAATGACGGGTCAAGTCACGAGCGGGTTGACCCACGATCTGCATTCCGACGTCGTGCCACGGCATCCTCGGGACTCTCGATCGGTCGTACATCTCCTCGTAGGGTTTGTCGAGAGCGAAGAAGTCTTGCACACGGGGGTTGGAGTAGTCCTTGCCCGGCCATAGCTGGCAGTGGTCAGCGTCCTTGGGTGTATCATCGAGCTCGAAACCTGTGGGCTTGTCGTCAACGACGACGTGTTGTGGTGTGTCCCAGCGACCAAAACACAGGTCAACGCCTCCGCAGAAAGCTACAGTGTGATCAATGACGCAGATCTTCTCGTGATGGGACCAGAAGAATGTGTTCTGGCGGATTTGGTTCGGCGATCGTTGGACGAAGATGTTTGGATGGAGATCTAGCAGAGAGAACTTGGAGTACTCGGAGTCGATAGGAATAGCAGCACCGATATTGCGATACATAATCACAAAGATCTTGACACCTTCCTGTGCTTTGCGTTGGAGTAGTCTGTCGAGTCTCCATTTCTGACTGATAGCAGCTGGACGACGCAAGTAAAGCTCTGGGCTGAGCCACCAGTCGTGAATGTAGATGACGTCGCGCGCCATGCTGATAGCTCGCGACACATTCCACATGTAGTCGCGACCGTCTACAAGCCATTGAGCGTAGATCTTCTTGCGCACTGGAGCGAAGCTGTCGAACCGCTGGCGTTGAGACCACAATGTGTTTTGTGACATGAAGTTGATGGACTCCTCGAACTGATGCAGCATCCGCTCGTTACGAGCAAGCAGCTTCATCTTGCGTTCAGCGTTGACGAGCTTGAGCTGGTGATGACCTGTTGCAGACGCCTTCGCTTCGCTTGCTAGATCTCTAGCTTTCTTATCTCGTATCCTGGCAGATTTGGTATCGAGATGGAAGTCAGCATCGACCAAGAAGACATCGTAGACGTTCATTTCCTCAGGCGAATCTACACAGACGACATAGCTGTGTCTTACTAGGAACCACTTGGGCCAGTGGCGGTTCATCATGGCGATCTTGGTCCAGCCTTTCCTGTTGTCAACGCCTTTGGAGGATTTGATCATCATGTAGCCTTCCTTGCCATGGTAGCCGCCCTCAGCCGCTAGGCGGACACCCAGAGCAGATAGCTCGAGGAACTTGCACAGGCGGTTGCTGTCAGGACGGAAGATGAGGTAGGTCATGAGACCTCGCAGATATTGTTCCAACTTCTTCCGTTGGCGTTCATGATGATTCTGTTTCGCCTGTAGGGGTTGACCGGCGGCGCCAGCAAAGCTGCCCTGTCTCGCTACAAGGGCACCGACAGCACCCTGAGCTTGGGAACCACTTACGCTTGACTGTCTGCGACCTAAGAATGACGACTTGCCTCGCTTGGGTCTGTTAGGGCGTTCGGTAGCGCTTGCATCGCCTTCTGGTCCGCTGGCTCCTGCTGCAGCCTCTTCTTCCTCTTCCTCACCTTCGTCATCAAGGATGCCGTAGCCTCGAAGACCTCTGAGATAGGGCAGTACACTTCTAGGGAAGCGTGGAAGTTTTGTGCGTGGGTCTTCTTTCTCTTCCTCCTTCTCGGTCTCGCCGTCCTTGGATGTCTTGTCTTTTAGTTCTCGCATACGGTTAGCCGGTCGACTACGGAAAGCGTCTTGCTTCTCCTGAACTTTGAACTTGAGATGCAGATTGGCAAAATCAGCAACACTCCTGTAGACAACCCACTTCATCCTGGTCAGGCCGCTGCCGTATTCCAGCTCTATGCGCAAAGCAGTATGCCGATCGCCCTCCTTCTTTGCGGGGCGGTCTGTGTCGGTGATGGTAACCTTGAGCTGCTCGAGAAGGACGGGAATACGCCTGTGGCCGTGCTCGTCGCGTTGGAACATACTGGCGAAGAACAAGGCTGCGGGTGCACCGGCAAGCAGTTCAGCCATCAGCTCAGCCGACTTTGCGTGGTCGATTTGGCGTTCGGCCTTTTGTCGGTTGCCGAGCAGCTTGAGGCTGTTCTTGATGGACTTCCACTTCTGCGCACTCAGACTTGACGTCCGCTCGCTACGCATCCGCCATGGTGAGGGCTGTGTGTCGCCCGCAGCACCTCTGAAAGTAGTCAAGCTTCGCAAGTTGCCGGTAGGACGATTCTGGTGACCCTCTTCCTCGCCGTTGGGGTCGTGCCTTCGCAGACCTCCGTACGAAAGCCCCCTCGCACTGTGTAATCCGCGTGTCCATGCGCTCTCTTTTGCGATGCGCGAGCGGCCCTCGTCCTCTGAGTAACCCTGCCGCTCGTTCTCGGGTATGTCATCCATGGTGGAGCGGCGTAGGAAGCCCGGGCGGGTCGATGTGGGCGTCATGGTGGGTGAGTCACGCGAAAAGAAGCCGCCTGTTGTCTGCTTGGGCGTGGTAGGGGCCGTCTGGGTGCCTTCGCCCTCGCCGTCGAACCAACGCCGGCTGCTCTTCCGCCTCTTTTGTCTCGGTCTTCTTGAAGCACCCTCGCCAGCGCTAGACTCGCCATCAGCATCGGCCTCGCTGTCGTGTCCCTCGAATCGCGGCTCGTCGTGCTCGGATGTGGGCGAAAGCTGGCCATGGGGTGAGCCTTCATGGCCTGAGCTCCCTCCCAATGCACTCAGGCTCCTGCCGTGTCCTTGCATGGGCGCTGCCAGTGCCCTCAGCTTGCCCATGAGCGACGAGCTCTGTCCACTCCGCTCCTTGCCCTTTCCTTCGCCGTCATCGACCTCCCATGACTGCTGCCGCGAGTTGGCGGCAGGCGGATCGGATGTGAATGTGGCGGAGCGGGCGAACTGGACGCTCTTGCGCTCTCGGGGTGCATCGGAGAGTTCGCCCTCGGTAGGGTGTCGGGACATGGGCGCAAAGGGCGGGTAGTAGGAGCTGGTGGACCCATTGGACATGTGCGAGGAGGGCTTCGGGGCGCGGAGGGGAGCCTCAGCGGATTCGACAGGCACGGGGATGCTACCCCCGTTGGCGTTCGCTGGGACATGGAAGGGAAATTCGCCGGCTTCTTTGCTGGAGATGGGCGAGCCGGTCGGGGCAGAGCGCATGATCTTGGGGGCGCCGTCCGAGGGCGAGGGGTTGTGTATGTCTTGCGTCTCATTCCTGGGCTGTCCCAAGCTAAGCGGCGATAGCAGTCGGCCGGACTCGTCTGTCCTTCCTGATACTGCGGGCGATCGTGAGCGCGGGCTGCGCGTCGTGGGTGAGCCCCCGGTCTTGTTGGAGCCAACCATGATGACGACACGGAAGAGGCAGTAAGTGTCGGTGGGCGTCTTCTCACGGCGAGGTCGCGTGGGGGTGTGGTTGCTCGGCTTCTAGGGCGTTATACAGCCATGGTAGCCAGGAAACCTGCTGCTGCCGTCACTCGTCACGGTGGATTGATGGAATGCTGCCCCAGGTGGAGTAAGTGGCAGTATACTCGCAGTGACAGGTCTATGTCATGGATAGGCGAGAGAAAGAGACACGCGGCGCAGCTGATCAGTATACGTCGTGCTGGGTCCTTGCGCGGTTCGAGTAATCTCCCAGGTGCTTTCCCCGGTGAACTGTCTGGTTCCAAGGTCGCGCTAATGACTTTGGCGTCAGGGGCCCTCTCCGCCTTGCTGACCGCCTGCACCGCGTCGATGCTCCACACCACAGATATGTACGATGCAGCGCCCTGCAGCACGCGCCAAATATCGCGTTCTCCATGTTTATAATATCGCATTCACATGCAACGCCCGCTTCTGTGCCAAAAAGACTCGATGATATCGCCGCCGTCTCTGTGCGGCGTGGCTGCACCCCGCACTGTACTCCCAATCATTACGAGCATACCGAATCCACCACACGTATACATAAAGGAAAGACCCTTTGTACCGCTGTATAATCACGCTATGCATCCATATGCCATGGCCAGCACATCGCCCAGTGCCACCTGTGAAGCTTGTCACACGATGATGTAGTTCTGCCGTCGACAGCAGCCTCGGTCGGCGATCCCCTGCCCCTCCGCATGCCCATGTTCCAAGATACACCAGACGAATAGCTCCATATTCTTTTCCCTAGGCTTGCTAATCGCTCAAACCTATATCGATATCCTCACTATTCTTAGACCTTACCAGCCAACATGGCAGCGACCACGAACCCCCTCCACGGGACGCAAAACTCGTCCGACCTCCCCGTCTCCTCCCGCACCATCACAATCGCCGGCATCCTCGTTGACGTCCATGGCCTCGACCAACTCCCTCCTTCCCCATCATCAGTCGCCTGCCTATGGCTCCTCAATCCGCGATTGCAGACGAAAGAGACCATGGCTCCCATAGCCAGACGCGTCATCTCTACCTGGAACAAGCGCATACAAGACGGCCGGGCCGGCAAGAACCCTAAGGGCTTAATCGCTGCTGCGTTCGATCAACGTAACCACGGATCGCGCAAGGTGGACGATTTACACAATCAAGCCTGGAGAGAAGGAAACGAGACGCATGCCCAAGACATGTTTGGATGCTTCCACGGCACCGCGACCGACACCTCCCAACTCATCAACCATCTCGAATCCTACATCTTTACCGCCAAGGATAGCCCGAAGATCGAACAACACTTTGCCCTTGGTATCTCGCTGGGTGGACATGCGACATGGCATTGCTTGCTAGGTGACCCCCGCATCACCGCTGGCGTAGTCGGCATCGGCTGTCCAGACTACACGCGCTTGTTGACTGATCGCGCGCGCCTATCCAAGAGAAAGACATACACGGAAACAACACCACCTGGAAGCGCATTCCTCGGATCCCCCGACTTCCCACAAGCGCTACAGGACGCCATTGCCCAGTATGACCCTGCCGGTCTGCTGCTACTGGGCATGTTCAATCCGCTAGGAAACGACACCCAGCCCGATCAAGAACAACTATCTAGAATGAAGGCCCTGATGAAGGAAAGACTTCAGGGCAAGCGCATCCTGAACCTCAGTGGACAGGCAGATAAGCTCGTTCCCTACTCGGCTGGTGAGCCGTTCTACAAAATCTTCAAACAGGTACTAGCAGAAGACCCAAGTCTTGACATTACCTTCGAAGATGTGTTATTCGAGGGCGTAGAACACGCTTTTCCTAAACCAATGGCAGACAAAGCAGCGGACTGGTTATGTGACATTTTGGCCAAGGACGATGGACCTATGTCAAGTAAGATATAGTGAAGCGCACAGCAATCGCAATCAACTGAAGTTTCAAACGCATCAGCATGACGGCAAGGCAGTGTTCATTCGCATATCTTGTTACTTTCCTTCATTTCCGACTTCTTTTCTTGTTACTACCAAAAGAACTGACCATCTTGCTTCCATGTCCACCTCCGCTCGACGTACCATGCGCAATCTGCGAAACCGCCAAGCCCCAGAACACAGAATCCCGCGCTACCACGCCTTCTCCACCCCCGAAGAGCAAGCAGCATGCATCGATGACATAGCCCCCTCTCCCGCCATCCTCCCTTACGCCGTGAACAGCTCGCCCACGTTGACTGAGTTATCTTTAGCCCGGGAGATAATCATTAGGCCCCTGGAAGAAGACGGAGATGTCTACTACCCAGAAACTTCAAACATCCAGCAGAAAACAGCGGAAGAACACATTCTTGAGCGCATTGGCAGATTAATCGCCATGTTCACATTGTACAACCTAGCCAGGTCGTGTGATGAGATTAAAGAAGATGATTGGGAAGAGTACATCACACCTTACGAAGAAGGCGATCTGGAGATGCTGGAGCGAGTTTGTCCAAAGCAATGGTGGGACGAGGAGATCAGAAAATCATGGCCGAATCTCATCGTTTTTGCGCGGCGGGCAAGGAAAGTCTTCGATAAGAACTGATGGCATCGTGTAGTCCACTCATACTAGAGTAAACCTCTCCACCAACCCCCCATCACCCATCCACTCACACACACCCAAATCCCTCGCTGAAAAAGGAACTTTACCCAACCTCTCATACACATTCCCCTCCCTCCCCTCCACTCTCGCCACAATAATCGCATGATAACTTGCCTCTCTTTCCATCTCCACAGGCCGAACATGCTTCCACAGTATCGCGACCCACAACTCCCTGCCCCTCGCTCTCTCCGTATGAGTCGGCGTGTCGAAACAAGTATACGTAGGCTGCATGTCCCCCTCCAACTTCTCCTTCATCTGTGCTACAGCACCCTTCTGCCGATTCGGAAATACGTCGCCTTCGCCTTCTCTCTGTTCGGCCGCAGGGTATAAGCGTTCCAGCGGCGCGCTGATGTCTAGCCATCCGTCGGTCACTTCCCCGAAAGGGTTTTCTTCGCTCTTCAACGTAACGTTCACATCGTGGATCTTAGCCAGTGCCGTCCACTCCCCCTTGTCCCACCCCACACCCGAATTCGGGCTGAAGAGACCAAACGGCCCGTCGATGGCGGCCCAGGACCAACTTGGTGCGCGGTATACAGCCGGTGCGGTTGTCGTGCCGACAGCTTGCCAGATGAGATCCTGAAGTAGGGTTGTGGACCAGTGTCCCGCGAGGTAGGTGGTTGGAGAAGGGAGCAAGGAAGCGTAGGTGCGTGCGAGACCAGAGAGGGCAGGCAGTTTATCCGAAGGTTTGGTTAGAGAACGGCGGGAGTAGGCGTCTAGAACTGCGTTCCAATGCAGCGTGGGGTTGTCTGGGATAGGTTTATCCGGAGAGGAAGGATGCGTGTGGGATGGGAATGTGCGCGAAGTAGTTGGGAAAAGAGTATCCACTCGCCCTGGCAGGTAGAAACCCTGCTCACTAAGAAAAGAACAATAACACTCGAAGAAAATCTGCTCGGTGCCGAAATGCAGTACACGCGGTGCGAGCCAGCGTTCCTGCAACGCCCAGCCGCGTTGGCTCAGTGGTTCGTTCTTCAGCATTGCGTTGTTTCCGGCCCAGGAGGGTTTCGCGGCTGTTTCGCGGGAAGAGGAGAAGGCGTAGAGGGTTCCTTTGATATCCTCTGTGGATTCGTATGAGAAAGGGGAGTAGATGGGTGCGGGGCGGTTGTCCGAGAAGATGGAAAGGCCGGATGTGGAGGATGGAGAACCGGTTGCGGAGAGCATGATGTAGGCGTTCGAGTAGACGGAGGCCATGCGCGATGTTTCGCGCGACCAGTCTTCTGAGTCGTCTTGGCAGATACTGGGGTTTTTAATGTTAGTGTTTGGTGTCATGAGTAGGATGGGTGAGGCCGGCTCACCAAAGAGAGTCGATCCATACGTATCCGATACCCATTTCTCGCGCTATGAGAATGGCATCTTGGAATGTCTTTGGAAGTGCCTCGACGTCGATGCCCTTCTTGTTGGCTTCGATGTTGATTCGCGTGGTTGCGAACGGGCTTGACTCGCCCCAGACATAACTCAGTGCTGCGTAGCGTCCCAGCTCTTCCCCTGTGGGCTCATAAAGAGCTACTCTGTGCGGCGTTGACCCTCGTATATCCAAGACTCGAGCTGGAAGCGGTGCCGCATCGACATGACAGCGCCGATCCGTTCGTTGTTTATCGCAATTACGTACCCAGTTCAGGGCATGTGCAAGTGTATGCGGAGATGAGGAGAGTGTCTTTCGACCTCGAACGACAGCGGCCAACGGATCGACGTCTACAACACCGTTAGTCGAAGCAACAGCTTCACCAAATCTCTTTAACACTTACAATCAGCACACAACCCCACCGCAGCAACAACCCAGATCTGGTACCAGCGCTCTGTATCGACAGATACCACCATGAAACCCCCAGTGTCATTCACGCCCCTAACGAGACACATCTTCCAATCTGGTCCCCCACTACGCTCTTCACGAATACCGGGTTCCTTCTTCGCCTCACTATGTTCAGGTCGAAATTGTGCGACATCGCGCTGTACGGTTTTGCAGATTGCGCAATCGACTGCGGCGGCTTCGAGGTCTTCGATACTCTGGTGGAAAGGTAGTCCGATGGGTTCTTGATCTTGTGGAAGGTCTTGCTTGTTCTTCCAGAGATCCCTGAGAGGTTGGCTCATTATCTTGACTAGGCACGGGTAGTCGCGTCGAGTGACAGCGTGAATTCTGTAATCGGGTGACAGTTTAGGGATGTCCAGGACGTCGAGCGACTGGCAAAGATTGCATAATGGCATGTTGACTTCTTCGTCACTGTAGAGCTTTTATGTGTGGGTAGTCGTGGTGATAGCCCAAGTTGCACATCTGAGTGCTATGAAGATTCAGCATTGTTGTTCTCTCTGTCGTCATCCTCGCCAGGCAGCCGTGGTGGCGAACATAGATTGAAAGGGCGCTGCACGTGTGCTGGGTTACTTTTGCATGCCGTTATGATTGGATACAATCGCCTGGTATTTCTTGGGGAAGAACTCTATAGGTGCATTTAAAGTGTGAGCGTAGCGGGTTGTGTATACATGTGGGAACGATCGGCCGATGGGCATGGTCCTTCCAACGTTGGCGTGCTACCCAAACATACCAGATATTCTGCTACAATACGCCAGGCATGACTTAGGTATTTACGTAGATGTATTACAATTCCTTCTCCTAAGTTAGACGCCGAACTCGCAAAGGCCGAAGACCAACACGTGACTGCAACACTTTAACAAGAGTATGTAATAAGAAATCGTAGGAACTCAACTATCTGATTGACAATATATTTGAGTCAAAAACTGGTGTTGGTAGGAGAATGGGATGGGCTGACTGCGGGGTCAAGATGCAATTCTTTCACGACTTCTCGCCCTTCCTCCCCCATTATGTGCTTCTCACCACAGCCTTGAAACAGCAGTTCGCCCACGAAAGCTTCACAAAATACATTCGACAAGTACGCGTTTCTCCTTGTGCCTGGTTCCAAGTGCGCACTCCTTCATGCACTCTTCAATCTTGCAATGAAGTCGAACGCTAAGTGAAGCAACCACTCACCCCGAAGCTCGACACCCATTTTCAGAAACCGGATTCTCCACCTCTTCTGGAAGTCAAAAGCCTCTCAAGAAGGCCGCCGTTATCAAAGAAGATATTCCAAGCGTATTGAACATGCTCGAACCAGCACTCGCTTTCATTCGCTAAGTTCAGGAGCCCAAACGCCGATGAAAGCGCGAAGTCCGAATGAGTCGAGAGGGACCTGGCGTAGATCAATCGCGTCGCTCGCAACAAGCATCTATGCAAGACGTAATATGCAGATGTTCCCTCCAAAAGCCCGCGTGGTACAAGATATACCATTACGACATCTTCCGAGCAACCGCTTTTGTCCCAAACCATCAAATCTGAACAGGACCGGCCTTTTGTCCAGCCCTTCTCACAACTCTCATAACAGCTCACATAAAGTATCGAGAAGGGAGACTTTTGGACGTTCACACCATATACCCCGAGAGTGACTCTTCTACGTCTACAGCCCGCATCCCAGTGTTAAGGCCATAGTCACAAGCATCTCCCTTCCCCATGCTACATCTGTACACATCCTTACTTCCACGATACCACATTTCTCCACATGACCCTCTACACCGAAACATCTTCATACATTTACAACCCACCTCCACCGGCCCACCCCCACCTCACGCCACCCTAAAAGACCGTCTCACCTTGCCCCTTCCACCCACAAATCTCGCCCCCCCGAATCGGCCCTACACTCACAATGGAAGATCCAGACTATCCCCTCAGGTCAAGATCCAGAAATCCAAAAATCGTATGATAATACATCAAAGTTCACCATTTCGGACCGTCGAAGACATAGTTGTCACCTGGACCCTGGCGCGGGGTCCCGCCACTTTTCGAGACAATTGCACTCGTAACGAGGCTGGCTGCAGTCTCAATCCGGTGAGGTGGAAAGCGGAAAGGATGTGATAAGGGAAGGGATGCGTTGCGTTACGACGCACGCGATTGCGCCATATAAAGTTCTCACCCGCTCTTGTACACTTTCGGTCCGTTCTGGGGTGCGGACAACTTTAATTTTCCAACGCGGGTTTTTGGGGAATCTGGAACCTGGGAAACTTGTGTCTTCGATGCGAGGCATGGGGGTCCCTTTGGCAAGTCGGAAGTCTCGTACCTTCGTTTGGCTTCTTCCGGCTCTTTGAGTTTATGGGGTGCTGGGGTGCTGGCGGTGCGTGATGCTGGATCCTTGCCTTTGCTTGCATGTCGGAGGACCCTTGGGATCTACTTGCGTGCTCTCGCGCATGTGTTCACGCGGCATATCCTTGTTGTAAGGGGTAGACTGCGTGAATTCTTGAGGCAGCTCGGTAGCCGTGTAGGCTATTGAAACCGTATTCGAAGGGGTTGAGAGAGAACTGTAGTTCGTACCTGCGCTGGTAGAAAGAGCTCGCATTCGCATTCAGCCGTGCGATAGCGTTGATAAAGGGTCTGGAGATGGTGGTCATCTGATGGTCAGTGCTGCTGTGGGGTGAACGGTCCTGCGCGATGGATGCCAAGCATCGCGAGAATGTTTAAGCTTCTTCCACCGTAGTAAAACAGCGACATCTTGTTAAAAAAATGGACGGGCTCACCGCCTCTCAAGCATATTGTACTCAGCAAAATTGAAATGATTTCACTCTGAGACAGCCAAATCACAACTCTCACATTCAGTGCAATGCGCAGCCCGGCCACTCGACTGGCGGCCCTTACGAGCGGCGAGACACAAGTGGCCATGAGTTCCGTTGCATCGCGTGGAACCGTTCTGGACGGGCAGCCGCTTAGCAGCGAACGCTTGTTTGAACATGTTCTCCAGCCACGCACTAGTCATGCCGACGCGATGGCAGAACTTCGGCATCGGTGGATGCGAAAACCACAAGTCCGGTCATCGTCAAACCCCAAAGTTTAAAATCCGTATTTCACGGATATCTCCAGATTTCACCTCCGCTTAACCCACGAGTTAAACATAGCAACGCGTTTGGACCATTGCACTCCTCGGATCGGAGCGGAAGATCGGTGGGTAAAGTGAGCATCGTGATCTTCAGCATGGTTTGAAACCTCCGAGGAGCTTCGGCAGTCGCAGGAAATAACTGGGGAATAAAAGCGACTTGACTCGGCAGGATCTCAGTGATTACCGATAACAAGAACTGAATCCTGAGGGTGGAGGTCGCTGAGTAGTGGTGGGTGGAGCTCACGGAGTCTACCGCGTTTGGTTACACAATCCTCTTTGGGGTATGCTGGCTGCGATATGTGGAGCGTATCTGGAGGTGGCTGAGGCGTACGAACTTGTCGAAGTAACACTAACCGGGAGAGTACAATACTCCGCGTGTTTGTCGATCATCGTTTGATGTCAGTCTAAGGGTGCTGGTTGTGGCTGCATGTTAAGCCTGTCACCGCGCAAGCCAGTACGACGCACATGCATCGTGATAGTACAGTACATGCCTGTAAGCGATATCTAGCGGTGATTGATCCCGCACCTCGAGCATGCGCAGTAAAGATCAGCGAGATCTCGCAGGTCGTGAAACCTTATTTGTGCGTGGGGAGAGTGTAGTTTGACGATGGTATAAAGTTCGATCTGCTCCATGCTAAAAGGGACTAACTCGCTAGTTCGTATCGCGCAACGTGACGGACTAGACAAGTGCCTCACCATGGCGTCCTCTTGCGCATGCATGTCAAACCCGGCTGACAGCGGATTTAGTTTAGACACACCTGCCACGAGTTTAGCGGAAAGAAGATGTTATAGAAACGTGCAATTTCATTAATGCACTTAGTGCGACGCCACATGCTGCAGCAGTGGCTTCGCCAATAGATGCGGGATCTGAAGGCGATCTGCAGATCTTCATAGACTCATGATATCTGTCGTCTGAAGAATAGTCCAAGTCCTGATGCTGATCCTAACGCCGATACCGCCAATGACGCCGTTAATTCATATGCTGGATGACTGCCGTTGACCGAATGATCATGTCTCCCTTAGTCGACGGGCGCGTGCTTGAAGAGGAAACTAACGCTCTCGCCGTTGTGGGTACGCCTGCAGGCCTCGGCAAGCTGTGTGCCGTTAGAACGGCATCTTTCCAAAGTATAGTGAGTTACTTACGGTCGGACTAATATCAATTGTCTCAATGCGGTCGCACAACTCCTTCTTATCTTCGTGGGGTACGGTGTTGGTGACGACGATCTTCTTGAGCTTGCTGCCGTTCAAAGCTTCAATGGCATTGCCGCTCAGGATGCCGTGGGTGACGATCGCGAGCGCATCCTTCGCACCCTCGGAGATGAGAACGTCCGCTGCTTTCACAAGTGTACCGCATGTGTCGGCCATGTCATCGACCAGGATAGCCGTCTTTCCGCGTACGTCTCCGACTAGCACCATACGCGAAACCTCGTTGGGGCGTGTGCGCTCCTTATGGATGAGTGCAAAGCCAAGGTTCAAGCCATCCGCTATCGAAGTTGCCCTGGAAATGCATTAGTACTAGCACATTCTAGAATTCGTCCTACGGAGGACAGCCCGAGAGTTCAGTATGGCATAGGGTAAGACTTCGGGTCCTGAGTTCGCGCCGTTGTACCACTGCTCACTGCCGTGCTCGGCACCAAGACTTGGGGAGTTGTTAGCAGACAGCATATGTGGTCTTACCTCTTCGCGCCTCCCGCATCTGGACTGACAATGACACAGTCCTTGACGTCCAGGTTTTCACGAATCCACCTGAGCGTGCTAGGTTCGGCATAGAGATTATCCACGGGAACATTGAAGAACCCCTGGATCTGACTGGCGTGAAGATCCATTGTAATGACGTGGTTGCAACCGGCGGTTTGAAGCATGTTTGCCATGAGTTTTGCCGTGATTGGCGCACGAGACTTGTCCTTCTTGTCCTGGCGGGCATACGGGAAATTTGGAATCACAGCGGTGATGCGGCGCGCGGAAGCGGTCTTGCATGCATTGATCATAATCAGCAGCTCCATGAGAGCATCATTGATGTCGCCTGGTGGTGTGGACTGCAGGATGAAGACTGCGTTGTGGTAAGCCGAGCACTAGAGGCAGCGGTACTCGATCCCGTGTAGACATGATGATGCATACCATCTTCGTCTCGAACGGACTCTCCAATAGTCACGGAAGTCTCCTGGTTCGAGTACTGGA